ATTGGCAACCCTCGATCGGCAGTTTGACAGATATCATAGATAAACATCATGATGCAATAATGAAAGGTGTTGTACGTTGTGACAGCTCGAAATCGAACTACCTTAGGTCAATATTGTATTTTGAAAGTACAAGATAAACGGGAATAAAAAAAAGCCTTTTAGTTGAAAAAGTACTAAATTGTATGCCTTCTCAACAGCGTTCCGATTATCAGAATAGGTATATATATGGCTTGGTAGTCTCATAAAATTGTAGATAATTAAAATAATAAAATTAGGCGTGTTTTTATTCACAGGAATATGATAATATGCTTAAAATTTTCGAGCTGATGAATACCCAGCTAGAACAGTATGACTTATATAATTCCTTTTATGAGCCGTATCACTAAGAAAATTATCCCTTATGAATTTGAAATGTGTCCCTTATATTGTACAGGCCAAAAAGAGGAATTCATTTACGTGTGATCTTTTGTCCCCCTCTTTCATATAGGCTTCTTGTGCGCATATATCAGGTTTCATAGCTGTTGACCATACCAATAATGCCTCATGCTCAGTTTTACTTGATCAATTCGTGTTCTCGAGAAAAAAAATTTCACGATTCAAAAATCTGAGTATAGCCGCCAAATTCTTTTCTCAAAATTTTGAAAATTCTTTGTTTTTTGCCCTATATTTGCTTTGTATGGTATTTTCAACAAAATATAGGCCAAAAACGATAAATGTTCAAACTTTGGAGAAAAACAATTTTTCAGATTTTTGGATCGTGAAAATTTTTTTTCTCGGAGAACACGAATTGATCTAGTAAATCTTAGTATGAGGCATTATTGGTATGGCCAACAGCTATCAAACCTGATATAGTCGCACTAAGGTTTTTTTGTGTTCCACAGTGTTATACAAGGGATACTTTGAGGAATCATATAAGGAATTATACATTACCCAAGTCCACGTATATCCAAGTTCGTGTCATACAGCAAGCATTGACTACTTTTTAAAGTTTTATTTATTTGTTTTTGAAATTGACGACATATTTCAGAATTTGTAATTAATACGTTGTGTTCATTTTAGTAAATCCACTTTTTTTAATTGTACAAAATTTATTATATACATACAGTATCGGTCATATCAATAGCAACCCCATTTCAAAGTAATATTATTTCCCTCTCATGTTAATTTATTTATTGCTAAGAATTTGCAACAAAAGTAAAGTTGAATTTCTAACAAAACTCATATAAACCGAATTTTAAAACTTCGTAGAAAACTACAAAAAATACAACAAATTTTCAACCAAAATTCAAACCTTTTTCTCAGAAGTGTTAGAATTTTTTTGAGCACTCAGTTTTATAGCCCCTTCAATTTTAGTCTAATTATATGCAAGTTTGAAGTGGCTAAAAATTACCTTAGTTTTTTTAGAATCGATTAAAAACAAATCGTGTTTAATCGTCTTCTATATAAAGAAAACTTCGACCATATATCGATGGCTGAGTAGAAGATCGACCTATCTCGGCAGTCAGGTCGAAAACGCCCGATATCAGAAAGCTTTTCAACGCCCTATTTCAAAATTTGGCTGAAAAACGCCCTATTTTAGAATTTGATTGAAAAATGCCCTATCTCGGAACTCGGTTCAAAAACACCCTATCTCAGCACATTTTCGAAGTATTTTTATTTGAGATAGGACTTTTTTGAACCGACTAATAATAATAAAATATGTACTATATACATATCTAGTTTCAATATAAAAAAATTTATGTACACCATTAATTGTGTATACATATCTAAGTCAATATATGTGATATACATGTACATACATCTACATACATATCGTCGTTTAAAGTACAAAACCATGTATCAATAAATTGCAAAACCGCGTATAGAGATAATGCAAACCCACGTATGCGAGGTTGCATAAATTAATTTCTAGAGAGTAAAAACACTCATATTTCAAAATGGTTATCTTTTTGTAAAAAGCAATCGCATTTTTGGCTAGTATATTTCAGGAAGAATGGATAAGGATTGATCCAAAAACGTGTGTGAGCGAATCCAATTTTTAGCAGCAAATGTCAGTTACGCGGTTTTGTACTTTAAGCGACGATATGTATGTTAACAGGAACGCAGCAATCTAATACACGGGTGGAGCAGGAACGCAGCACAGCAGAAGCATACAAAAAATCTGCAAATAAATGGTTTTTTAGGTTTTTAACAAACGAGAACCTGGTTTCAACTTACTTCAACGTGTCTAAATCACAACGCACACACTAATGCAAAGGCGCAACAGGAACGCAACACTATAAAATACGGGCGGAGCAATATACAGGCGGAGCAGGAACGCAGCACAGCAGAATCGTCCGAAAAATCTGCGAATAAATGGTTCATTAGGTTTTGAAATAACAAAGAGCTCAAATGGAATGGTTCATCAATAAAGTCAAAATAATATGTTGTAACTTACGTGTATTAGCCCTTAATCACAATACCAGCACAGGTCGGTCAGCGAAACACTAAGGAAATGACCTAATAAATGCAAAATTATAACTTATTTGTAAAATAATTCGGTTTTATTACAATACTTACCAAATTTCACGCAATTGGAAAACAAATGTCAGCGAATAAGAACAAAACGAACAACGAAAATTGAATCAATGTAGCTTGTTCAGAATTTTTTCTAATATTTTGGGAAATGTTCAGTGAAAATAGCAAAGAAACAACACAGTTTCTCCTAAGGTAGTTCAAGATGGCGGATTAGAGCGAGAAGTTGCCAACGTATAACACCTTTCATTATTGCATCATGGATAAACATATTTGTCTAGTCTTGCATTTTTTCTTATTATTATTCATTTTGATCTCGTTAATACCGCTCGCGTTTATACATTGTGCCTTAATATCAGTAAATCTCTTTATAAGTCTTCTTATTCTCACACTCGCGCAAAAATCGTGAAGCAGTTTTATCTGGAAGCGTAAAGTTACTCGCGTTTAGTTTCATGGTACAATAAAAACAGGTAGAAGCCAAATTGACATCAAACCTACAAAAGTCAAAGTTTTCGGGAGAGTAAAAATAAAAATGAGCGTGGAAAAATAAAAAATTACATTTCGCTGGTTGACGTTTTTGAGTAAATTCGAAGTTTTGCTTTTATTTATTTATTTTCTTTAGTTAAAATTTGTTAATTTGTATATTGTTTTCTGTCTTTGATTTATAAGTTGCAGTGTTGTTGGAGGGACTTTCCGGCATAAGGGCTATAGGAACAGCACTTGACATCAAACGTGCCTTTCCTCTACCTCCCGGTGTATTTATGAAATCTGCTGCTTTAAAATGTTTAACGCACAGCAAGGCATTTCGCTGCAGCTCTACCCCACAGCTGCTTTCCCAACGCTCCTTACGCCAAGTACATTGAGGCACGTTAAAAAAATTAGTGGTGTCTTCATTATATTTAACACCACATAAAAAAAAGCGCTTCAGGTGTTGCATTTTTAACACATAGACTAAGTATAAACCGCACGACACTACAAAAATTCAAATGCTAATTAAAATTTGTCATTAACGAACATTCAAAAAAAGAACGACATGTCACTCAAAGCGTAACGAAATATAGGAAATAAAAGGAAAACAAGTTGAAGTTTAAAGGTTTGGTTCTCATGAGAGCAACGTCATTTTGGCTTCTACCTGTATTTATGTGCCTTGGTTTAGTTTAAGCGTTTATAATAAAGCGATTTTTCAAATTGAATCGGTCGTGGTTTCATTTGAAGCAATAAATCGAAGTAAAGGAGGTTCTGTGCATTAACTTGGTTGTTTGTGCCCGACCCGTGTCGCCGTCTACAATTTGTTGCCGTTGAGGTTGCCTGCTGCAAACCAGCTACATCCGTCATCGTA